GTTTGGTTTTGGTTTTGGTATGGGTTGGTATGGTATGGGGGCTTAGGTGCTGGGGTGAAGGCAGCCAATGCCAATTAATTGGCTGCTGTCTTTGGCCAAATGCTGAGGATGTGGCCTGACTCTGAGACTGAGGCTGAGTCTGAGTCTGGCGATGAGTATGAGGATGGGGCTGCAGTGCGATGCAGGCGATGTCTGGAGGCCTTGATGAGAGGCGCCAAAGTGCCAACACCCCATGCCAGGGATTCGGCCTCGCCGACTTACACGGAAAAAAAAATCTTAAAACTTATTTGCGGAAAAAACTGAAAATCAAAGGAAAATCTAGTCAAATCATTTCTCATATAAACATTTTAAAAATGAATAATTATTTCAAAACTCATATTACTTCTTTATTATTCTTATTTATTTTTATTATTATTCATATTTTGTTTGCGGCTAGCTAAAGTATAACGTTTAAATTTAAACAATAATTTATAGTGTGTAATTAAATTTAATGCTTAGAAATATTTATATATATATCTTAAACTTTTAGTGCAGCATTCCTGTCAAATTTCTGCACTCCTTGCCGTCCTTCCACTGAGCCGTACTAATTAATAATAATAAAAGAAAAATGCACACGAACGAGAAGCAGGAAGACGCGGCTCAGGCTCAGGCTCAGTTTTCTCAGTTTTGTGACCGTGGCTCTCGCCAAGATTCATGCTGTTGGCCAAGCCAAACTAAGTCGCCTGGCGTTTATTTTTAGACAATAAACTGTGAGGATGCCACAGCTTTGGCCACGAACGAGCAACAAGCCAACAGGCGATCGGCTAATGGTAATGAGCTGCAAGCTATTTACAGTTTGGCCGCGGCCTTGCAGCCCATAGTTGGCCATATACACTCAGAAAATAAATGACCTAAAAATGGGAAAAATTACAATTAACACATGAGAAAAACATGTTTTTGTTTTGCTGAATTCTGGTAATTTTAACATTTTAACCCACTTTTAATATAAAGTTAATTATACAAATTTCATCCAAAATCAAAAATAGTGGAATGTATAATGCTTTTGAGTGATGGAGTATATAATGCTAAGGTACATGACTTAACTTATTTTTATGTAGGTATTATGTCTAGTTAATTAATTTATTTATTAGTTTTCCTAAATGTATTTGATAGACTCATCCTTAAGGTCATGTGAAGTCCCTTATTCCTTAAACTAAGAAAATGTTCCTAAATTAAGAAATGGTTTTCTTGGGTGTTGGAACTAGTCCACTGTTATTCAAAGTGTACCTAGCTACCCAGTCCCCCACCCAACATATATTTATGGGCCAGCATCAATCTGACTTAATGCTTGTGCGGCTTGATTAGCATGTCGATGAGCTTGAGGAGGAAGATGAAGATGAAGCTCCGGCGGAGGAGCAGGTGGCTGATGAGTGGAGTCTGGGGGGCGGAGGAGTCGCCACCTCCAGTGGATTCAGTGGATTGGATGGGTCATCGGATTCATCGGTTCCGTACAACCCCCAAAACACCAAAACACTCGTTGAATGGCCTTCAACGTCCTTGGCTGTACATTTATTGAACTTGTGTATAATTATAATTTATTTGCTTATTATCGAGTCTCGACTTGTAGTTGCTGTTGTAGCTGTTTTTTTTTTTATTTTTGTTATGGCTCACGTTTTTGTGCTCGCCAAATATTATAATTTATGTGAATAAAGCGATGTGAATCTCTAGCCCCTAGATAAACTCGTCTCTGTAGCCCCATCAAATCCAACGTCTACGTTTACGCTGGCCATGTCTATTAGCAAACAATTTGTATTGTCTAAGAGTTAATCATTCATAGCGTCATCGATTTATTTATAAACAATATTATTAACGCCTTAGCATATTATTTCATTTCATTTATTATGTAAAAATGCGTTTTATGTTAATTTCAATTGTTTACCTTATATCTTTCAGAGGTTTAATGGTGAAAGAACAGAAAAACAAGTTACCTGTGCGTTTTAATAATATACTTTTGGAGTTTTAATTTGCCATTTAAGTTTTTGTCTAAACAGAAAACCAGGAAAAATAGTTTAAGTTATTGAAGGTATAAAAAAAGGTTGGAAAATATTAGGTTTCAAGTTATACTTATATAAAAAGTAATATAAACTTTAATTTAAAAATTCGTTTGGCGTTTAATTTTGCTCCCTACTTGTAAATGTTGGTCAAACAGAAAACAAAGGAGTTTTTTATTTTTATTATTATAGAAAATATAAATGAATATAAATTGTGTATAAAAATAGGTCTTCTTTCCATCACTGCCCACAAAGATTTGCCCAGGGCTACGGCTGATAGGCAAATCAACATCCAAAACAATGCAGTATTTGAAAAAAATATGAAAACTAAAAAGTAAACTCAGAAAAAAGCCCGAAAAAGACTTGAAAAACACTTTGTGCTGATTCTTGGCGAAATCAAAAAGTCATCATTCGGCACGAGAAACCGAATCTGCGGACTTTTATTTGCGATCTTCGATCTGTAAGTGTGAGTGTGCCTAATGAGTATTCAATTGATGCAGAAGACAAGCAACCAGAAGTAACCTTAAATGGCCATTTGAAAGACGTTACAGTTCGATCGATCGGACGCCAGATCCGAAATTCGATTAGGAGAAGAGTACGGAGCGAAAACCTCGAAGAACTGCGGGCACTTCAGAGGAATTGGGTTTGAGTTTGGGTTTGGCTATGGGTTCGGGTGCGGGTGCGGGTGCCGAGGAGAAAAAAAATTAGAAAGAAGTGCGTCCAGGGAATCGGGGTCAATAGGAAATGAAAAGTGAAATTTTATGCCCAAAGCTCTCTGCTGCCTTTTGTTGCGTACTCCGCACAATGTGTGTGCTGTTTTGGCTTTTCGTTTTTTTTTTCTAATTTGGCGTTTTTTTGCCAAAGGAACTTGCAATTTAAATATCATTAAATTCTGGGTTAAGCCTTTGTGCCGGCCACTTGAAAATTGCCACCGTATAATCAGTTTTTGACAGCCGTCGAATGAGCCCCAAGCCAAATTGGCAATGGCCCTTCCAACTCTTCGCCTCAAGTAGAAAAGGCGACACTCTGTCGAGTTCCAAGCACCCAACAGCCAATAGCCAATACCCATTGGCTGTTTAATCAGCCGGGAATTGTCCAAAAATTTGCAAAAGAAGAGAAATTACAGAAAAATTGTCGACCAGCAGTCCATTCTAAATCTAATTTATGTATAAGTTATTCAACAATTTTCGGATTTTTAATGCACTGTTTCTACAATTTTTGTTATTTAATCAAATTTGCATACGCAATGGTAGTTTAATCACCCGGAAATTATCCAAAGATCTGCGTTAGAAGGGAAATCACAGCCAAAATCACAGCCTAACAAAAGACATTCTAAATTCTAAATATTATATATTTATATTTATTTTAAAAAAATGTATGTACAAATTATATTCAATATTATTCATTGTTGTAAGATATGGTGTTTAAACTTTAAGCTTTGAGCCAATTCCTTTTGCATGTATAATGGTTTCGTTTATTTAAAAGCTCATATAATTTATTTACATAAATGTCTTCACGATAATTTGAATCTTCCCATTCTAGCCTTTTAATAACTATTAATTATGCATGTTTGTTTAATTTGTTAATGGAGACAAAATAAATAAATTTACAAGCTACCTAAACGCTTGTCAATGGGCCAGCGATATAATCAATTAGCACGACTTATGCTGCACTTGGCAACATCATCCGATTCCGACTTTGACTCCAGCTTCGACTTCATGGATCCATCTCTGAGTGGTATGGCAAGTACTTGTATTAGCCTCCAGCGTGAATCATCCGCGAAACACTGAGTTCGTGCCAAACGAGACCTTCTGCATATTGAAATGTGGCAAACAAAAGATAAAAACGCCAGAAACGTACTATAAACCACTTGGGCCGCAGAAAACACCGAAAGGTAGTAAAGTAAAGTAAGTTCGTCGCAATTAAAAGGGCGAAAAGCTGAAGCTGAGTGCGTACCTTTGGGCCTGGCTATTAAGATTGAAAAGGGCCAAGATGAAAATAACGAGCCCATAAAAAGCATCATCCCAGCATCCACTTCCACATCCACATCCAAATCCATAACCACAGGTGGCCAGACTGATGACGCGTCAACGGATTGGGTTCCGTTCCTATCAAACAATTGGTATTGGCGCATTGGCGGGTATTCATTTTAATAAATAATCACCGAGAATGGAGAAAAATAAATAATAATTCGAGTTGTTGTTGCGGTTTTTGCATTGGATGCGGGGAGGTTATCAGCCAACACAATACCTTGAGTCATCTGCCCAACGCGCTTAAAAACGTATTATGGAAGACGGAAATGAATCGTATGCCGGGAAAAATTCGTATGGCAACATATTACGTATATTATATAGAAATATACGCAAATAGAAAAAGAGCTATGCATGGCGGTAAGCAGAGGAATAAATTAAATTTTCGTACCAGGCGAAGAATCTTCCAACAGAATCTCCGCTTCTTCGTGTGTTTAAATTTAAACCCTGAGCTAAGCCGCTCCGGCATTTCAGCCATTTCTGCCCAAATAGATAGATCTAAAGATACAAAGATACAAAAGCAGAGGGCTGCGAAAGGTGTTATCAGCCTGTTTACTTTCCAGCTGGAGAAGAAGCTCTCAGTCTTGTCTCAAATAACTACTAACCGAAAACAAAAGCAAACGACCACAAACACAACGCGTACCGAATGGGTAAGGTAAATAAATTTGGCAAACAAAAAGCCAAACATTTTTACTGGGCACAACCGAAAAAGATGATAAATGATTGCGCGTGTGCAATTCCCTGACAAATAGTTTCGGCTTTGGCTTCGACTCTGGCGATGTTTTAATAAAGCTTAACTAATTAAACAACCACTCAAAACAACACTCGAAACGTGCGTGTCTTGGTGTAATATAATAGATTTATTAAATTTGTAGTTTGTGTTATACAAAACACCTTAAGCATTGCATTAAATATGAAGCCACAGCAGGCGTAGGTTTTTGAACCCTGCACTGAAGGACGGTAATCAAACTTGGATGAGTTTTTGAGTCTCTAATACTCAAAAGTGCTTGGTCAGATTGCTCAGGCACGGCGAGTTGTTGGTGAACAGATCGGATAGGTTGAATATATTCAGGTAGGTGGACAGGAAGGTGGCCAGCAGGCCAAAGATGAGCACTGCCATGGTGCAGGAAACATCGCATTCCAAGCGCTGAAGGACTCTCACCAATCTCAGCCAGCAGCCGCGAGGGGAAATTGGTGGCGAGGTCGCCAGCAGTGGTTCCATCTCCAGGTCAACGGGGTCATAATTCAAATCCAGCGGCAAACTACCGTAACTGGCCTCCGCCGCAATCCTCTGATGCACTCGCTCCATCCGCCGTATGCGACGGTACAACAGAGGTGGCAGGATAAAAACCAGCGGTCCGGTTATGGTACCACCCACCACATCCATCAGAGCATCGAAACTGGGCACAAACTCCGCCACAAGGACCTCCAAGGCCAGCACAAAGGACCGGATCAGCATGCGCTTAAATGAGAGCGCTGAAAAGGAGGAAAATAAAACTCTCTTGAGGATCGGAAAATGACTTACTTAAAACCTAACGTTGACTTAGATTAATGTGGCCAAAACATTATGACGGAACTCATCAAGAGACTGTTTCATCGGAAAGAAACTCATAATTAATAGTTCATATATCATTAACCAAACTTGCCGAAATTTATAAGTTGTCATAATTATTAATTTATATTTAGTCGATCATGAGTACATAAGATTTTATTTGCCAACATAATGTTAGCAAATAAAGATTATGTAAAAACCCTATTTTTAAACCATCTTAACTAAAATATCTAATCAGCTTTTATATATGATTAAATATTTATTTATTGGTTTTATAGTTTGACTAAAATGATAATTAAGGCTGATAAAAAAAATGGAATTAAAAAGGTAACTGGAAATTAAATTGAAAACGATAAATATTAAAGTAAAAATAAGATCTTAAAATAAAAAACTATAAACATTGAATTCAATTATTTAATATATAAATAAATTAAAACCAATGTATTTAAGTTTAATATGGTTATAATTGTAATAAAATGTTCAGATAAATCCAATAATATTTAAAGAAAGTAAAAACATTATTGGCATGTTAGCCAAATATGAACTTACACTCCGGCAGCTTGAAGAAGTTCTCGATCTGGAGGAACATGGCCGAGCTGGCCACCGTGACTGAAAAGCAGAGCTGCAGGGCCATCAGGATCAGCATCACATAGAAGGGCACGCTGGTGGGCAACGATTGCAGCAGGTTGTCCGCTATCATCGAACCGAACTTGTAGGCGGCGATTATGGAGCCAAAGATGGCCACGCTGCAGGTTACTTTAATATAAGTATCTAAATTATTTTCCACTCAAAATCTGATTAAATCAACAATACTCACTGGCGATTCCGATGAGGGCAGCCCACGACACCTGCGATTTGTGCTTCATGTCGATCTGAAGCGTCAGCAGGACGGGATGGATGTCGAACTGGAAGGCCAGTATGCTGTAGCTGTTGAGAACGGTGAGGAAGCCAGGCAGTTCTGTGGATAACAGGCATTATAGTTCCTGAACGATGGCACAGATCTACGGTACCCACCCAAGGAAATGCCATCGAAGGGGGCTCCAATCGCTGGCGCTGCAAAGAGGCAGAACCACAGCAGCGCCACAATAACGATCATCACACAAACTGCTATGATGGCCAGACCGCTATGATAATCAAAATGAATTAAAGTTTCCAAAATGAAGTTAAGTTAAGGACATTATTCAATTTTGTAGGCACATGATATTTGCATGCTCCTGAGCATAAAGTCGCATACTAACTCATGTTTTATCACCTGTAAGTTCCGAAGTTTGGCGTCAATCGGTATTTATATGTGTAGCCTATATAGTTACCTAAATGTTCTATGCTGAAACACACTTTCAATAAACCACTGTATTATAAAAAAAACTACCAAAGTAAATATCTCTAATGTTAAACGTTCGGTTTAAATGATATTTATATGTTTATTTAATTGGATTGCTTGTAGCATTAATATCACATTTGTTGACTGAAAATGCTCCTTTTTAATCATATTACTTTTCCTACATATTTTCCCGCAAATTTTATATTATTATTGTGAAGTGAACCGCTTAGAGGGAAACCTTGTCTTACCGCATGTGCTTCGGGCTTCCCAGCCACATGAGCGGACAAATGACCAGCCCGACGATGATGGCCCAGTAGCAGTAGGAGAAGTTGTAGTGGCCAGCGCTCATGCGCAGCACGACGCCCTCCAGATTTTCGGCGGCCATGACCACACTGGGCACCGCCATGGCGAAGATGCTGAGGTCGAGGAGCACCGAGACCAGCAGACTCATGTACGGACCGTAGGCCAGCTCCGCCAGTGCGGCATACGGATAGTTGCGCTTCTGCTGAATGGACGGATCAAGCAGCTCGGCCATGGTCCAGCACTGGGAGAGCAGGAAGGAGGTGTAGATCTGCAGGAAGATGATGGACAGCACCAGCAGCACGCCGAAGTAGCCCAGCTTCACCAGCAAAGCGGGCAGTGTGACAAACGGGAAGATTCCAAACAGATCCACGACATACAGGATGGCGATGAAGAGCGTCAGGTTCTCCGGCTCGTCCTCGTAGGCCCGGAAATGGGGCAGGGCACTGAAGCGGGATCTCCGCAGGAAGGGCAGCTGGTCGTGCTGATGCGAGGGCGTCAGCTGGACAGGCGGACGCCGCTTGGGCAGTGCAAAGGAGGGGGCACGCGAGGGGCGTGGCGCGGGCTTGGCATTCTGGCGACGGAAGAAGAACATTGGCGATGTGATCTCGGACAAGGGAAGCAAGCAACTGCAACTGTCCCTCTAAGCCAAAACTAATGGTGGCGCTCTTGAGTGGCAAACCTTCCACCATCAACAAGTTCTGACATCGGAAACCTCACAGGGAAGCCCTGCAACTTCTGCAATGTCAATGCACCACTTTGCCTGAAGTTCAATGCCTCCAATCCCTCCGCTTCTCCGTGGAGCGACCCACAAAGTCAGGGGCAGCTCAGCTCAACTCGGTAACGAACGTCTTTATTTAACACGCACATATAGTATCAACAAATAGCTTCCAGCGCTCTTGCATCAATCCGTCTGAGATTCGTCCTCTCTAAGGTTCCTAAAGTTGCACTTGGGAAATCTTCTGCTTCTTTGCTTGGCTCTGAAATTAGAATAAACTATTAGTATGATCTAGGCAGCAATCATAGCTATAAGACATTATTATTATTATTTAAAGCTAGCAGTGCGTTTCTGGATCTATGGAATAGGTCCTTAAGTTTTATATTGCTTGGTTTGTTAACTTAAAAACTAGATTAAGAAATCCTATTTCCATTTAATTTAGATGCTGTAACCTTATTAATTCCAATATACTCATTAATATCTTGAAAATCTATTTTTCCAGTAAGCAGTTAAGTAAAAAGCAATATCCAGCATTTAAAAAACACTTTGAATATAATTTAATTTGATTCACTAAACCATTAATTAAACCATATTTCCACAAAGACATTCCATATTTCTTGAAAATTTATATTTTCAAAACATTTAATATATACATATATATATATTTTAAAAAAGATAAAAGATGATATACGTTTTATCCAGCTCTCTAAAATATTTATTTTCATTTTAAGCCATATTTCAAATCAATGTTACTCATACAATTCTTGACAATTTAACTTTTTAGAAAGCATTATATTTTTGAAAGAAATAAAAAGGGCTCACTACACAGCAATACCCACCTCATCTTTCTCGTCCGCCTGTGTGGTGATGACCTGCACCGCCTGTCCCGGACCGGATCGCAGCAGCTTGGAGCCTCTCACGGTGCCTTCTCCGCAGCAGAAGACGCGCGACGTGGCCGTGTGCTGCAAATGCGGACTGGGAGTGTCCGACTCGTCCATATCCTGCTCCAGCTGGTCTCCTATGATGGGGTAACTGCTCGCGTTCTTGTTGTTGTCCGTAAAGGCGTGGTTAAAGAGCAAATGGGTGGGACGCACTGCATCCGTTATATACTTACTAAAATCCACGTGGTTAGGAGGGCATGGTCAGTACAATAGCAACAAAGTTAAGGTTACTGTTTAATAGGATTACATTTTGGCAACAATTGAAAGTGGGTAAATGATACGCACACTGACCACCAGAATATCGATAACTAGTCTAAGCAAGGGTATTTACAAGGGCAAAGATAGGCATGCATTAAAGGAATCATCGCAAAATAGGAACTTGAACTCTGATCTGCTATGGCTGACTCACGCTCCATGAAGAGACGCCACTCAAAAAGCGGTTGGATTTGGTCGTGGGGCAAGTGGTGCAAATAGAGGTGGTGCTGGTGGTGGCTTGGGCTGCGAGTGGGCGACGAGGGCTTCTCTTTCGGGTGCAAAACGCGTCAGGAGTCGCATTCGGGCGGAGCCGGTGCATCCTGCCTGCAGTTTGAGACACAAAGGTTAAACAATACAAAAAGCTGCTGATGGTGCACATCAAGTATTATCTCTGATAGGTGAAATGTACCAAGGTGGCGTCTTATTCAGTGTACGTATCGATTTGAAGGTGGTGGAATGTAAATGGGCATGCGGGAAGGTAACAAGGAATGTAATAGGAAATCCACCTACGATTTAACGTTAAACAAGCGCTTGCGCTTGATGTACTCCAGCACCAAATCGTCAATAAGATATTTAACCGACTGACCGCGTCCCAAGAGTCGCCGGATTAAAGTGGAGCTCACTTCATTGGGCACCCAGTTGGTAATAAGCGTAATGTTGTTCTGTAATATACAAAAGAACATTAAACAGGAATCATTTAGTAGGGAGTTTCACTCTTACCTGATATTTGGTCAGTATGTCGGAGTCAAAGATGAATTTTCCAGGGTTTGAGCCAGCGCGAGTGATGACCACCAGGCCGTGATTGGCCACAATGTCCTCAATCTGCGGGAAAGCATATTAAAACAAGATCCTATAAAAGAAACCAAGACTTACATCAGCTTCCGCCCACAGGCCTGGCACAGCGAAGGACTCCAGCAGATCGGCGCCGCACAGGAGCTTCAGGTGCACCGGATCCCGGCTGCCGTGTAGCCCCCGTGGCAGCCATCCGGCCAGGTGAGTGTCTGCCTCGTCATTGCCGCCTGCTCCGCCAGAATTGATGTGGTTGTTGATGTAGTTCTGGTGGTGCTGCAGCACCGCCTGCGTGCGCATCCACTTGGTCTGATGCACCTCCCAATCAGACAGCCGGATCCAGTTGGAGCTCTGCGTGGCCAGCTTCACCATGGCGCATCGGTCCAAGGCGGAGGCCAGGTCCTTCTTGCCGTACGAATCGTGTGTGGGCGAGATAATGCCACCTACCACTCTGTGGGTGCCCTGCATCTCGAAGTGATCCTTGGCTATCTCTGTGGGCACAAACATGCGGCGTCGTAATTGTATCGATTATATACCGGGGAATTTCACCATCCAGTTTCAGTTGACTCACCAAACATTCGCAGATGCATGGGCGTGGGCGGACTAAAGCATCCGCAGGCTATGAAGGCTATCCGCGGCAGCAGGCTCTTGGTTTCCTCTATAAAAGCCGACATCTTCTTGGATTTTGGACGAGTTTTCGAGATTCGAATCCACAGCCTTAAGCATTCGCTTGTTATGTTGTTGTTTGGCCAGCTGATTTTTGCAAACATCTGTTCGAGGAATTGAGCTTTTTCAACACTACACAGCTGTGAGGGTTGTCGACACTGACGTCCATTCGATTACAGCATCTATCGATTACCAGACGTAATTTTTTTAAAATTAAAAGTTTGGAACATAAAACGATTATTTAATCAATTATATACTTCTTAAATCAATATTTCTTTCATTAAAATGTTAAAATAACATTTAAAAGCTTAACAAAAAGTAAAAGTCTTTGATTAGTTGTGGCATTAAAAGCTGGACTGATATGTTCATGAATTGATAAATATTTGATTATTTAATTAATAATTTAGTTCTTAAAGGCCTTATATCTTATGTTAAAGTTTTAAAATAATATTTAAAAGAATAACAATGTTCATAGGTTAAATTGATTAAAAGCTCAACATATTTCTCAACACTAAATAACTTAAAACATCTAACAATTTTATTTTTATCACCGTTTAATAAGATTATCATTAATACTTCTGAAATATATAAGTCTAAAATTTTAGGTCTTAAATAATGTGTACAAAATGTAAATTTTGGTTTAAAAATGTATTAAAATTATATATTATTTCCAAGTCCAAATTTTTTAAATGTTAAACTACCCACCTTCCAATAATATCTGAGGACGAGAATTTTTTTAATTACCACTGGATACCTTGTCATCGATAGTTGCGCAGCCCTGTCAGAACGATTGCCTGGCGATACTAGTGTAATCGATTAGAAATGGCGTCCTCACTGTCTTTCTTTTAAGAAAATTTCGTGTAGTCTATTTACCATTTAGCAGCGTTGTGTGTGTCTGTCAATTGTAAGGACACGCTGTTTTTTTAGAGAGAACCGCCTGGCGAGAGACCAGCGAAAACGTAATTACGGTGGATCGAAGGACGAGGGCGCGGAGCCGAGTGCAAAAACAACGGCCAGCAGGCAGCGACAAGAAAATGCATTTGTAGCCCTAACCCACAACTCGCACACACACACAATTTCCGTCTCTCTCGCGGCGGCGACGGAAATAAAGCCAAAAGCAGGAAAGAATTGGAAAGGACATCGCTGCGGCAGCATCACCATCGTCTTCTCCAGGTGGATCACGAGGGGGAGGAGCAGGCGGAGGAGGAGGAGGAGTGGCGGCGACGGCGACGGCAACGGCAACAACAAATGGCGCTGGTGACGGTGCAGCGCTCTCCCAGTGTAACTGGCTCCTGCTCGAATTCGGTGAGAGTCTCCCCCGCTCTCACTCTCGCGTGTCTGCTTTGTTTTGGTCACCCCAGCTCTCTCCAAAAAGAGAGCGGGCCAATTAAGGAAAGGCTCTCCTTCGTGCGTGTTCTGATTTTGGCCATGATCCTTTGTGTGCTCTCCTTATCGTAATGACCAATAGCCAATGTTTATCCGCGAGCTTGTTGCTTACGTTTTCGTGGTTTTCGTTTTCGCGTGTGGGCGGGCGGCATCGTTCGTCATCGGCGCTGCTTTTGGTGTAACCCAAGCAAATCCGCAGACGTCGCGACGTCTATATTTTTCAACAGATTTTTGCATTGCCTTATTTGTCGTTTTTGTCGCTTTCCGCTTGTTTTTGTTTTCTTCGCCGCCCCACCGCCCAAAAATAGTTCGCGAGACCTTGACGTCCGCCTGCACAGAGAGAAAAATGTACACGATATGAAGATCGTAAGGCAACAAAAATATTAAGGTGGCAAATATATAGCTAAAAACAAACAGTGGGATCTGAACCCAAAAGCTTTTTGTAAAAACAAGAAGTTAAGAACTCTAAAAAAATGTGTTTAATATTTAAATCAAATTTTGGGATCTGAATAGAAAAGCTTTTTATTAATGTAACTGTATATTATTCGACCATTCTGAGTAATCAAATTAGTTAAATTCATATATAAATTCCTATATATTAGCCCAATGAGTTTTGTTAAGATACTGCTTTTATTTCTGCCAGTGTGTGATGCCCTTGGAATTTTAATTCAGGCAATAATCAGACATTAATCGAGCAAATATCTGCCCCTTTGTAAAGTCATTCAGCATGCGAGCTTGTTTTTGGCCCCATGATAATCTGTTAAATATGCCTCGCTGGGTGAGGTGCATCAGAATTATCTCCATATGGACATCTATTAAACCTTACTCTCTTTTCTACGCAACAGGATGGCGAAGCCGAGGACGACGACGGCAATAGCAAGGCAAATCGCAGCGAGTGCTTCCTCGCCTGCAAGGGCACCGCCCTGGTCCTGGACCTCAAGGACATCCCGCCCCAGACGCAGAGCGAGCGCCGCCTGAGCACCGACTCCACCCGCTCCAGCAACAGCACGCAGAGCACCAACTCGGATATCCAGCTCCACCTTCAGTCCATGTTCTTCCTCCTGCAGCGCGAGGACACGCTGAAGATGGTAAGTATCAATGAGATTTGAGAGTGCTTAGCTTTCTTAACATCTTTTTACCCCATAAAATAGGCTGTCAAGTTGGAGTCGCAGCGGTCCAACCGCACGCGCTACCTGGTGATCGCCTCCCGCAGCTGCTGTCGGAACGCCACCAGCGAACGTCGGCGCCACCGCATCATGCGGCACAACTCGGCCAAAGTGGCTGGCTCAGCGGGCACCACTTTGTCGTCCTCCTCCTCCGCGGCGGTCACCACCCAACGCCAGTTGTCCGTCGAGCAGACCGCCACGGAGACCAGCAGCAAATGTGATAGATCAGCGGACAAGGAGAACACGACGACGGCGGCCGGCGACAACAAGAATACCTCGGGAATGGAGGAGTCCTGCCTGCTGGGCATCGACTGCAATGAGCGGACCACCATTGGGCTGGTGGTGCCCATCCTGGCGGACACCACAATTCACCTGGATGGCGATGGGTAAGACCAGACTTTTGTTTAGGATAAGAAACCGCAAATTGTCAAGAGAACAGGGTAATCTTTTGGGTAAACAGATCTAAAACAAATTATAATTTTGTTCTAAAGATGTAAAAATTCTAAAGAATCTATTTTCGAAAGGTGAATAAGTAGTGCATATTTTCACATTTGTCTGAAATTTAATAATGATAATCTAGCAATACGAGATTGAACTGGTAAACACTTTGAATATATGTTGTTAGGTAGATCAGCAAATAAAATCAATCATATATTGAAAATAGGTATTAATTGATCCTCTTTGACTGATTATTATATATCTTTACAGTGGGTTTAGCGTCAAAGTTTTCGAAAAGACGCACATCTTCAAGCCGGTCTCAGTTCAGGCCATGTGGTAGGTGTTGTTAGCCAGTTTCAGCTCTCTCGAGTCACAATTTAAACCCCTTTTCTTTATCCACAGGTCCGCGCTGCAGACGTTGCACAAAGTGTCGAAGAAGGCTCGTGAGAACAACTTCTACGCCAGCGGTCCCTCCCACGACTGGCTATCTAGCTATGAGAAGCGCATTGAGTCGGACCAATCCTGTCTGAACGAGTGGAACGCCATGGACGCGCTCGAGAGTCGCCGACCCCCTTCGCCTGATGCCATACGAAACAAGTAAGCGTTCGATCAAAATAAATGTATTAATGTTTAATGCCTTCTATTGTCTATTGGCAGACCCCCCGAAAAGGAGGAAACCGAAAGTGTCATTAAGATGAAGCTAAAGGCCATCATGATGTCGGTGGACCTGGACGAGGTCACCTCCAAGTATATACGCGGACGTCTCGAGGAGATACTGGACATGGATTTGGGCGAGTACAAGTCGTTCATCGACGCCGAAATGCTCGTTATTCTGGGCCAAATGGATGCACCCACCAAGATATTCGAGCACGTCTATTTGGGCTCCGAGTGGAACGCCAGTAACCTGGAGGAGCTGCAGAAAAATGGGTATGCTTTATATATAGTTTCTGATGGTTGCGAAGAAGTGTCTTGGTTTGATTTATATCAAACCGTTTATGACTTAGAAATATATCTAAAGCAACTTTAACTAACTATTTTTAAATCACTCAAACTAAAAACATTTAAATTTAGACATTGAATATTTGAACTGTTTTATAATTCTAAGTTGTATTGATGTCTTACGACTTCTCTTTCACTAACTTCACTCTGTCTTGTTTAACGTTAACCTTTTTCAAAGTTCCAGAACTGACTCTTTCCTTTAATGATTTCAGTGTTCGCCACATCCTAAACGTGACGCGGGAGATCGACAACTTCTTTCCGGGCATCTTCGAGTATTTCAACGTGCGCGTGTACGACGACGAGAAGACGAATCTGCTCAAGTATTGGGACGACACGTTCCGCTACATTTCGCGGGCGAAGGCCGAGGGCTCCAAGGTTCTGGTGCACTGCAAAATGGGCGTAAGCCGATCCGCATCAGTGGTTATCGCGTACGCGATGAAGGCCTACAAGTGGGAGTTTCAGCAGGCGCTGGAGCACGTGAAAAAGCGACGCAGTTGCATCAAGCCCAACAAGAACTTCCTTAACCAGCTGGAGACATACAGCGGCATGCTGGACGCCATGAAAAACAAGGAGAAGCTGCAGCGCAGCAAGAGCGAGACAAACTTGAAAAGCACAAAGGACGCGCGTCTGCTGCCCGGCAGCGAGCCCACTCCACTGATCCAGGCGCTAAACCAGGCCAAATCCAAGTCCACCGGCGAAGCGGTCGTTACGCCCGACGGCGAGGATGAGGGGCAGGATGGTTCGCGCCTGCATCGGCGCTCCATTGCCCAGAAGTCTCAGCGCCGCTTGGTCCGGCGCTCCAGCAGCACCTCGCCCAAAACCCAGACAGCGGTGGTCACCAAGCAGCAGAGCCAGTCCATGGAGAACCTGACGCCGGAGCGCAGCGTGGCCGAGGAGCCCAAGAACATGCGCTTTCCGGGCAGCAATGGGGAGAACTACAGCGTCACCCAGAACCAGGTGCTGCACATCCAAAAGCACACGCCTCTGTCAGTGCGGACGCGGATTCACGATCTCGAGGCGCACCGGGCGGACCAGCTGCCACAACAACACCAGCCTGTCTGGACCTCGCTGACCAAGCTGGTCACGCAGACATCTCATTTAATAGGCAGTGGAGGTGGAAGTAGCAGCGGCAGTGGAAACAATCAGCCGCGACGGGATTCCAGCTCCTCGGATGTGTTCTCCTCGCAGGTGGACAGTGTATTTGCCAAGGAGGAGGGCGAGAAGCGTCAGCGGCGCAAGACGCACTCCTGGACGGAGTCGTTTGGTCCCAGTGGCGGCATAATCCTGGATCCCAAGCCCCAGCAATCAAGCGCCATCCTGCTGCGACCTCGAGTCACTCGGCCACGGGAGCTTCCCTCGCGGCACGCCAGTTGGGGATCGGGCGACAACCGGAGCAGTCTGCCCCAGAGGACCGGATTAAGTTCGTACTACGACAGCAACCGCAACAACACGGCCATTTTCGAGGGCGTCATACAAGACTTGAAGCGGGGCGGCAATTACAATGTGATTGATGGAGAACCTCCCGCTCTACCGGAACCATCAGTTGGAGTTGGCGAGGGCACCGTGAAGCGCACCAAGCAGAAGCTAGAGGAGAGCACGGCGGCTCTGAAGAAGCGCTGCCAGGAGGACAGCCAGGAGCTGCTACTCGAGGCGGTGGATGCTGCTGGTCAGAAGCGGTGTCCGAGTCTCTACCGGAGCGCCTCGTCGGCGCACAGTCCGCGGCAGAGGCAACCGCTGCGCTGCAATAGCGAGGAGCTGATGCACACCAGCGACATCGAGAACAAGAACACCACACTAGCCACTGGCGATCAGGATGCGGCGGTGGTGCTGCGTGTCCAGGGTCAAGCGCTGGCCGACGATCAGCAGCGCATCTCGGGCAATGTGCAAATACTCAAGCAGAATTTCGAAGCCAAAGCAGGTGTGGTGGGAGTGGGAGCGGGTACAGGAGGAGGAGGCGGTGGATCCAGCAGCAGTTCAGCAATTGTGGCAGCCGGAAGTGCGGCAGTGGCGGCAGCAAGCTCAGCTAATCCCAGCAAGAAGACGACCAGCCACCAATCACTGCCATCGTCGCCGGTGGCGCAGCATGCCAACCATGTGTCCACCGCCTCGAACTCCAACTCCTCCGCCTCCAACTCGTCCGATTCCAGCGTAAGCGAAAATTGTGATCGTAATGTAAAAGGTCTAGTGCATAAATATCAAACCACTACTTCCTGCAGTAGCCAGGCGGCCGCCCCGCCCACAGTCGCCTGCGCCCCACTGCCAACCGCCAGCAACATGAGCCACGCCTGCAGTACCACCACCATCACCACCAGCAGTACTAGCTTCAAGCAACGCCCGCGCTCCTACTACGACAGATCGTTGTCGAACCGTTCGACGCATGACTACAGCGACAGTCGTCCGCCGCCTGCGCCCGCCCGTCACAGTCACAGTCACAGCAGCAACATGCAACACCACCATCAGCAGCACCAGCAACAGCAGGAGCAGCAGCAGCAGGTGCAAATCCGGAGGCTGCCGCAGCATGGAAAGACGCATCCGCTGAGCAGGCTAAGTGCACCCAAGACAGGCTTCAACACCGCCGCCTACAACACCATGTAAAGGCCACACGCTCTGCTTAACCTGCAACATTCACATGCCACTTGCATCTTGCAATCCATACCATACCCCCGTAGCCACTAAGGATCATCCTCACAATCTCTCGCCCGCTTTACGTATTTATATATTCGCCAGCTTATGCCCATTTTGTGTTATTTGTCCAACAATCAAACACCTACACCCACCACACACATCCCCTCATGCCTTGTGTTTGTTGTCTTGTTTTGTGAGGCGTCCATAAAAGCTTGTAAAGATCTTGTGTCTGCAACGTGTGAATGGAACTATTTGAGATGACAAGAGAGGGCAAACAAAACAACCTATGGAAATGAAACTGTATTTGTACTTTTTAATTACTTGTAACTGTATACATATTTATTTTATATTATGCAAGAACTGCCTACGAATAAACGATTTATTGTATATACGTCATTGTCTCTGGTGATTGTCTCTGTTTCTGTGCCGTCCTTGTGTTCGCCCCGAGAAAAACTGCCCTTCATTTTTACCAGATTTGTATTTGCAGCCTTATTCACATGATCCGCTCCTTCCGCTACTCTTGGGCGGAGTACAAGAAGTGAAGTACACATGGAGCTCACCCCGGTTGAAGGCGCAGCTCAAAAGCCCCCACCTTGAACACTTGTATTTTTTGCTATTTATCAGACCGTATATTTATAAATAAAAATGTGTATTCCAATTTACAGTGCAATCTCTTTTTACTGTGGAAATCAGCCATTTTAAATAAAACTTTCAACATTTTAAGCAGCAAGTAAATAAAGTTCATAAATTGTATTAAATACTATGTCAATTTAAACATGGGTAATAAAAACAATAACTAGCGTCTTATGGGTCTGGAAAGATTTCCAGAGAGATCAATTCATAATATCATAACAATTGTGATCAATTAGTTCATTTTACAGACTAAACTTTCAACGTTTAAAGTAATAAGTAATTCATTAGTGTCTCTATTCGGTACAACTTAATCTTTATTTTCTGAAAGGCAGAATTTTCATTATGACAAGTACAAAAAAAGATCATGAGATGTGCAAGTGTGATTTAAGATTTGTGAGTTCGCAAGTGTCGTTCAAGCGATGATTTAACTTTGAAATACTTTAAACAGTGACTACAGTCGTATCGTTTTTCCCTGTGTATCCGCAAATGTCTCTTAAGAATTGAATTGGTGTTATAAGACTTTGAACAGTGTGTACACTTAAAAGGTCGATCTCCTGTGTGAGTACGCAAATGATCTTCAAGTCCTAAACTCAAAATAAAAGTCTTTGGGCACTCGGTACACTTGAAAGGTCGATCTCCTGTGTGAGTTTTCAAGTGAACGTTAAGAACGTTCTTCGCCTTAAATGCCATGGAGCAGTGGGAACACTTGAATGGTCGTTCTTCTGAGTGAATCTGCAAGTGACGATGCAGATTTGATTTCTGGATAAAAGACTTCGGGCAGAGGGTACACTTGAATGGTCGTTCTCCAGTGTGGGTTCGCAAATGAAACTGAAGAGTTGCATTTGAAATATAGGTCTTTGGGCAGAAGGTACACATAAATGGTCGTACTCCAGAGTGCAGCTTCATATGTGTTCGAAGAACTGACCTAAGTTTGAAAGTCCTGGAGCATTGAGAACACTTGAATGGTCGCTCCGCACTATGGACAAGCAAGTGTTCGCGAAGAACTTTCGCCGCTTTAAAAGTCTTTAAACAGTGGGAACACTTATAGGGTCTTTCTCCTGTGTGGGATCGCAAGTGTATCTCTAAAAGTACATTTCTTGTAAAAGTCTTTGGGCATTGGGTACACTTGAACCTTCGTTCTCCCTTATGAATTACTTTATGTTCGTTAAATTCTCGATGCAGTACGAATGTCTTTGGGCAGTGGGAACACTTAAACGGTTGTTTCCTTGTGTGGATCCGCAAGTGCTTTTCTAGATGTTGTTTCTGTGTGAAAGCCGATGAACAGTAGGTGCACTTAAAAGGCCTTTCTCCAGTGTGCATTCGCAAGTGTTTTTTTCGACTTTGTTCCAGTGCAAATGACTTTGGACAGTGGGCACACTTAAACGGTCGTTCTCCTGTGTGAGTTCTTAAGTGTTGCAGCAGACTTGAATTTTGAATATAAGATTTCGAGCAGTAGGAGCATTTGAACGACCGCTTTCCTGTGGTAATTCGTAAGTGTTTCAGAAGAGCTCCATTTTCGACAAAGGTCTTTGGGCAGTGGGAACACTTGAACGGCCGTTCCCCATGGTATTTCAAGTGTTTCTGAAGATATGAAATTCGGTGGAAAGTTTTTGAGCAGAGGGAACATTTTAACGGTCCTTCATCTAAATGCGTTCTTAAATGTAATTGAAGTTTTGATTTCGATACAAAAGTCTTTGGACACTGAGAGCATTTATGATCGCTGCTTTTATCGTCACTATCATCATAACTAGGCTCATAATTTTCATCATCGTCATTATCATCATAATCTTCTAATTGTAAATCATTTTCAACGTGATTCTCATCGTTCGGTACAACGTTTTCTATCTCACCGATCTTCAGTTCTGACTCCTTTAACTGACAGAAGAACTGATAGCTTCTTTCATAAGTTTGCTTTATTTCGAAAGCATTCTTCGCATTCTGCAGACAGGAAGGACAGACGGCGTTTGGGTATTGATCCCCTTTTTCAACCGTAAAGCCGGTGCATTCGGAAATCATTTTCGCAATGGAAACAGCTGGTTCTTGCGTCCCTTCAAAAATATCGACCATTTTTTCGGAAGTCCCCAGGCAAGCACGGCATATTGAGGGCACCATCGCTCTGAAAAGTTGAACAATAATGTAGTTAATACAAAGTTTATTAAAAATTAAATTTCTCACGATTGTTTACGTGTGTAATGTAATTTCCAGTTAAAAGACTCTAGACTGTGGATATCGCCATGCAAATTTTAGTCTTTTGTGTGATGATCTTCAATCCAGTCGAAACTCCAATATGGAATGGCAACTTTTAAATATATATATATATATATTCAGATTTAAGTCTCAATATACTGAGATCGTTTAACCATCTAAGCTTAAATCCTCGTTGCTAAAGAGATGGGTAAAATCGGAGATGATACCGATACTGCTGTGCACCTTGCTAAAAACACTATCGATGTTAGGGTCATCACTATACTATGTTACAATGACATTACGGAATTCCAGAAACAGAAATGTTTAGATTATATAATTCAATTAATTAATTCAAATTTGTTTGATTATAAATTAGAATTAAAACTAATTTATTAAATCGATATATATATAAAATTATAACATCGATAAGGTGATAGCATAATCGATTTTTCTTCCATCTCTATGACACACGCACACAGCTGCAGCCAGCCATCAGCCAACACACACACGCACACGGGACACACACGCACACAGACGCGAACTCAACTTCCACAGTTTCTTTATTTTCTGCAGGAAAATTGGAAGCAAAACGACTCGAAATTCACTGTGAACGCGCTTCGTAACGTAATCGCTATCGGGAATCTCTACGGTGATCCGGAGTCCAAGTGGTGCCCCAGCGTACGATGCTAGCAACTGGCCAGCAGCAATCAGCCGTCGCCGTTCAATAACCAATATCAATATCGCATTCGATTTTCGAGTCGGAGTTGCGGACCGACCAACCAATCGCCAGTCATCGTACGTGGCGCTATTCGCAACAGCAGTTGATCCATCCGGCCGGGGGAGCTGCTCCATCCGGGCGCCATGACGGACGCAGCCGCTGGAAATGCGCTGGCCGAGAAGGGCCTGCCGCAGATGAAGGGATGGCTGCTGAAGTGGACCAACTACATCAAGGGCTACCAGCGCAGGTGGTTCGTCCTGTCCAAGGGCGTGCTGAGCTACTACCGCAACCAGACGGAGATTAATCACACGTGCCGGGGCACCATCTCCCTCCACGGAGCCCTTATCCACACGGTGGACTCCTGCACGTTTGTCATCTCCAATGGGGGCACCCAGACCTTCCACATCAAGGCCGGCACCGAGGTGGAGCGCCAGTCGTGGGTCACCGCCTTGGAGCTGGCCAAGGCCAGGGCCATCAGGGTTCTCGAGAGCGAGGAGGAAGAGGAGACGGAGACGGCCCATGTGGTGCCCAGCCAGGAGATCAGCTCAGTGGTCCGCGATCTCACCGAGCGGCTGGAGAACATGCGCACCTGCTTCGACCTGATCACCAAGCATGGAGCAGCCCTGCAGCGGGCACTCAACGATCTGGAGACGAACGAGGAGGAGTCGCTGGCCAGCCGCACCAAGATCGTCAACGAGCGGGCCACCCTCTTCCGGATCACCTCGAATGCCATGATCAATGCCGGCAACGATTACCTGCAGTCGGCGGAGGCGCAGGGCCACAAGTGGTCCAAGATGCTGCACCACGAGCGCGAGCAGCGCCAGCGGCTAGAGGAGATCGTGGAGCAGATGGCCAAGCAGCAGTCGCAGATGGAGCAGGCGGCGGTGCTGGTGCGTCAGCAGAAACCGGTCCCTTCCAGCTCGGTCGGCAACGCCACTCCCGGCTCTCTGGTGACCTCCGACGACGATATGGAGTTTTTCGACGCCGAAGAGCACGGATACACTGGGCCGGGGCGCTCGGCCGAATCTCCCCATCAGGGCACATTCATTCTGAAGATGAACACGCGACGCAGCAGCAGCGAGGAGCAGGTGGAGGGCCAGCAGGAGGGCAGCTCCTCGGAGAGCGACGAGCAGAAGCGCACCGTGCCGACGGTGCAGCAGGTGTGCCTCGTGAGTGCGCCGCGGGTGGCCTCTGGCGGACAAGGTGATGACGACGACGTGGACAAGGCAGTGCCGGCCCAGCAGAGCACCGAATCCATCTACGGCCGCAACTGGAATCCGGATCTGATCAAGAAGCGGCGCGACCGAGTGCCGGACAAACCGAACCACCCCATCAGTCTGTGGGGCATCATGAAAAACTGTATCGGCAAGGACCTGTCCAAGATCCCTATGCCCATCAATTTCAACGAGCCGCTGTCGATGCTGCAGCGCCTGGTTGAGGACTACGAGTACACGGAGATCCTCGACTATGCAGCCACCTGCCAGGACGAGTGCGAGCAGCTGGCCTACCTGGCCGCCTTCACCGTCTCTGCCTACGCCACCACCACGAACCGCACAGGCAAACCCTTCAATCCGCTGCTGGGCGAGACCTACGAGTGCGACCGCATGGACGACTACGGTTGGCGGTGTCTGGCCGAGCAGGTGTCCCACCATCCGCCGGTGGCAGCGCTCCACTGCGAGAGCAAAAAGTGGATGTGCTGGCAGGAGTTCTCCATGACCAGCAAGTTCCGCGGCAAGTACGTTCAAGTGAGTATCGTTCCTGGCAGTCGAGCAGCCACAAAAGTAGACAAGTAATTCTGAGAATTGATTTTCTCGCAGATCAATCCCCTTGGCGGCGTTTATGTGCAATTCCTGGACAGCGGCAGGCGTTATTCCTGGCGCAAGGTGACCACCACGGTGAACAACATCATTGTGGGCAAACTGTGGGTGGACCAGCATGGCGAAATGGAAATCCGGGGATCACAGGCATCGGAGGGCTACAAGTGCGTGCTGAACTTTGTCCCCTACTCATACTTCAGTCGCGAGGTGCAGAGGAGCGTGAAGGGCGTGGTGATGAACAAGGACAACGAGGTGAAGTGGGTGGTGCGCGGCACGTGGGACTTTAAAATCGAGATTGCGCCGGTGCTGAAGACCTCGGGCTCTCCCAACAGTCCCACCTACACCACGGGCGACTTCAAGTTAGCCTGGCGACGTCGCCCGGCTCCGCCGGAGTCGGAGAAATTCTACAACTTCACCACGCTGGCCTGCCAGCTGAACGAAGAAGAGGAGGGCGTGGCACCGACGGACTCACGCCGGCGCCCGGACCAACGGCTCATGGAGCAGGGGAGCTGGGACGAGTCGAACAACGAGAAGCTGCGCCTGGAGGAGAAGCAGCGCACGGAGCGCCGTCGGCGCGAGGCGGAGGCAGAGCAGGCGGCAGCGGAGGGCAGGCCGTATCCGGCCTACGAGCCCATGTGGTTCAAGCGCGAGAAGGAGGAGGGCAGCGAGGAGTATGTGCACGTGTTCAAGAACACCTACTGGGAGGCCAAGGCGGCGCAGAACTTTGAGGGCTGTCCCGATATCTACTAAACGGGAGTAGTAGCGAATGGAGCAGCCACTACCACACAGAGCAGCCTTAGCGAATATTCTAAAGATTTCAAATATGATGCAGCCTCCACTACACTCTGCACACAACCCGGAAACCACAAACCACAGCGGGACACGCTCCGGCGGATTGCGAACCGGAGCAGCACATACGCATATATAGTAGTACCACACACCTCGATCTAGTGCATATATATAAATTAATTCCCGTAATCTAACCAAGTTCGAGCCGTGCCCTTGCATCGAAATTTACCTTGATTATTTCCGTTTCTGACTTTCGGTTCCCCCTCCCATTTTCTAGTAGAAGCTATCCAAACGAGGGCTGGGCCAGTGGTTTCTCCCTCCAAACCACACTAGATGTCCTTCCCTCTTTCCGCAGAATAGTACATGTTTCGCCTTTGTTGTGTATATATATATATATCGAACCGAATCGAATGCCGAGCAAGCAGGAGCAAGAGAATATGTTAAATGTTATAAATTTATGCAATTTATTATTAAAGTATTATTTAAATAAAGCAACAATTTGTGTTTCAACTGGGTAAACAGTGCCACCTGCACACCTGCGATAAGATCCCGCCTGACTCACGCGATCGCTATCACATAATCCGACTGCCATTAGTAATATCGACCTGTCGACTAATGAATCTGATGGGGGAAAGTACTAAATACCTTTGCAAATAGTTTGGCACTGTAAATATGCCATAAATAATAATGTACATTATTAAAGCCAGCGGGGAAAAATCTAATTTAAACTCAAATGTATAAACTTCCTTCCAATAAGTACTGGTTAACAATTATCTAACAAAATATATTTAAAAAACTATTGTAACGCGATTACTTTCCCCTAAGATATCGTGTCAGATAAGTCGACCACTACATCAAGCTTATCAGTTGACTACACACAGAAGATAACGTGTTGGCGGGTCAGGGCGTGAACCTCAGTTGTTATCCGTGGTCTGGGAGGGTTCGAATATGTCCAGGGACTTGAGGAGGGCCTCGCCCGAGGGATCGCGACCCTGGAAACGACGGAACACCTCCGCCGTGGGCACAGATCCGCCGGAGCTGAGGAAAGTCTGCTTGTAGCGCCGCCCAACCAGCGCGTAGTTCTCCTCGCTGCGCTGCTCCGCAAAGCTGCTCGAGATGTCGGCGGCTATCAGGCGGGAGTACAGATGGCTGAACTGGGCGGCCGCCCAATCTCCGGCAAAGATGTCCGTGAGGGAACAGGGGTGGGCGTCCTTCTTGTCCAGCGGCATGCAGTGGTAGACGGGCCACAGCTTGCGCACAATTTCCAGCCAGAAGGCATTCGAGCGGTGTAGCTCCACGTCGAGATCCGCCAAGTACAGGTCCTGGCAAAGATTATACCCGGCCAGCTGGGTCTTCAGCAGCCGCATCTTTTGGGAGAGCTCGGCTTCCAGTGGCTCACCGCTGGTAAAATGCCCGGAGAGGCTTCTGATCACCGTGGGATCGTCCAGGAAGTTGCTCATCACATGACCGGACACCTGCGAAGCATCCCACTCGATGTTCGACAGTCCCGCCAAGTCACTGTAGCCCGCCTGGGTGAGCAGGTGTTGTAGACCGCTGCCGAAAGTCTTGAACACCATCTGCAGATCATCGTAGCTCAGCAGTGGGGTTCTGCCCTCCGAAAAGTTGAAGATCAGGGCGCAGAGGGGCGTCAAACTGGCGGATCTATTGCTGTTCCTTATGCCCACCATCCAGCCGTTGTTCCTGCCGAACTTGTGCTCCTTGGAGTAGCAGTCCACATAGAAGCCGCCCACCGGAGTGGAACTATTAGCGGAATCAGCATCGAACACATCGTAGAACTTTACGGCAGGATGCCACACCTCCGCACTGGGCTGTTCCACTATTTGGATGCCAAAGAGCTTCTCGCTGAGCGCAAACATTCCGGACAGAACGCGGGGCAGTGGGAAGAACTCGCTGAGCTTCTGCTCCTGCAGACCATGCTCCGCCACCAGCTGCTTGCGGCGCCAGTAGGCCACGTCGTAGGCCTCAAGTTTGTAGTCACAGCCGCTGTCCTGGGCGAATCTCTGCAGTTTGTCCAGCTCAACGCTTTGTGCGGGGCCGGCGAACTTCAGTAGCTTGGCAAACAACTGCTTCAGGTTGTCCACACTGCCCACCATCTTGGTTTGCATGGACATGTCCGCAAAGTTGGCGTAGCCCAGAAGATTCGCCTGTCGCTTGCGTAGGCCGCGGATCTTCTCCAGATGCGTGCTGTTCTCCAGGGATTTCTCCTGCTGCGAGGAGGCCTTTAGAACACTGGCCCGCCAGACATTCCAGCGCTGCAGTCGCTCGGGGCAGTACTTCAGGAAACCGTCGACCACCTGGGGCTGGAGCGTTATCTTCCAGGGACCCTCCAGCGGCTGACCGGGATCGCGTGCTGTGGCCTCTAGCAGGGGAGGCGGGAAATCCCTGACCAGGTTGAAGTCCGTAATGACTTGACCGAACGAGTGCACTGCCATGTTGACCTTGTTCTTGAAGCTGGCCCGCTCGCGACCCAAATGGGTGAGCAGTTCCTTCAACCCGTCCTGCTTCTCCTTGTCCAGGGTGAGCCCGTTCAGCTGGCCCTCCAACAGGAACTTCTGCCGCAGTCTCTGTTCATCCTGTCCGGCGGATTCGGCGGCTCCATCCTTAAGGGCCTTGTAAACCGTATGGTTGCAGAACTTGGCCGCCCGTGCATTGCGCGCACGCTCGTGGATGTTCATGTACGATTTGGTGGGAATCAGCGTGGAGTTGCCCAGGTACAGAGCTTTGGCCACTCCCCACGTTGTCTCTAGGGGCCCGGTGACGGTGTCCAGTTCCCGGAAAATGCCGCCTGCGTCCAGCTGCTTGCCCTGCTGCAGGTCAGTCTCCAGCGCCTTAACCGAGTTCTCCACTGCGGATGCCTGCTGGCCAATGGCTCCTAGGCACATTTCGATGGTGATGTCACTGAAGGCAGGCAGTCCATCGGGTTTCAGGACGCCCTCGCCCAGTGGACCCTCCTCGCCGATCTCCGGAACTCTGTAACATAAGTTAGGGCTCATTAAAAGACTCTTATTGCCAAGGCTTGTAATCCCTTACAGCACTATGTAACCGGGTCGGTTTTCAGTTGTGTGCAAGGAAGCGCTGAAGGTGGCCCGAATGAGGGGCACTGACGCCGGACGCCGTCGCAGGAGGTTCAGCATCGTGGATCCCGGATATGTACAATACCGGAGAGCGTGCGCCGGGAGTTTTGGATTCAGAAAAAGAGGGCCAGCGGCGTTTACACAACCACAACACGCCTGGACCAAAAAACAAGTGACAGCGGACAGCGTTGCCACCCCGCGGTTAAAAAACCACTAGAGATGCGAAAGTCACAGTTTAACAAGTCACTGGCTACCCTAGAAATAAGAATGTATTTCCTATGTTGAAAAGGCATACCTGTTAAGGTATGTAAATATATTTTCAAAAATGTGCATTCCTTATTTCCTTTCCTTTTTTTCCAAAATGGCTTTGCAGAAAAGTGACCTAAAACTGCATTTCCAAGGCCATAACTAGTCTTACAGCTATCCGATTTGAAAAAGAAATGGCTCTACATGCTTGCACTTTTAAGCTCTAAGAATATACGTTTAACTTTTGGTTTGGAATTTTGGGTCGATTTTCTTGAATTTTTTTTTCCTTTTTTTCCAAAAATTGCTTTGCAGTAAAGTGACCTAAAACCAGCACTTCCAAGGCCATAACTTTTCTTACAGTTATCCGATTTTAAAAAGGAATGGCTCTATAAGTTTGTGTTCCTAAGCTCTAAAAATCTACGTTTAAATTTTGGTTTGCAATTTTGGGTCGATTTCCTTTCCTTCTTTTCCGAAAATGGCTTTTGCAGAAAAGTGACCTAAAACCAGCACTTCCAAGACCATAACTATTCTTACAGCTATTCGATTTTGAAAAGGAATGGCTTCTAAGAATCTGCGTTTGAATTTTGGTTTGTAATTTTGGGTCGATTTTCTTGATATTTTAATGATGTAACCCCTTTCCTTTTTTCCAAAAATGGCTTTGCAGAAAAGTGACCTAAAACTGAATTTCCAAGGCCATAACTAGTCTTACAGCTATCCGATTTTAAAAAGAAATGGCTCTACATGCTTGCACTTTTAAGCTCTAAGAATCTACGTTTAAATTTCGGTTTGTAATTTTGCTTCGATTTTCTTGAAATTTTAATGATGGTACCCCTTTCCTTTTTTTCCAAAAATGGCTTTGCAGAAAGTAACCTAAAACCAGCACTTCCAAGGCCATAACTATTCTTACAGCTATCCGATTTTGAAAAGGGACGGCTCTATAAGTTTGTGATTTTAAGTTCTAAGAATCTGTTCAAATGTTGGTTCGCCATTATGAATTTAATTTTTTTTATTGTCGGTGCTATTATTTTGACTGTCACTGCATACACATATATTAAGTAAATGCTTTTTTTTGTAGTTTTCATATGCCGAGCATAAGGTGAGGCAAATAAAATATAGAAGGTAATGTAAAAAAGTAAAATCACGAGTAGCATAAAACGTAAAAATTCTTAATTTAACTTATGCTTTGCGAGGTCTAAATCTAGATTCTGGGGCGGACCATCCCCGCAGCGGCGGAAGCGGGCCATCCGAGCGCTCGTCCTCGGACGCGGAATTGGATCTGGAGGAGCTCGGGATCCCCGACGATTGACTATGACCATTGGGATTGGTAGCAGGGGCAGGTGCAGGTGCAGATCCAGATCCAGGTTCAGATCCCGGCGCCAACAAGTGCTGGAAGTTGACGTGCACCCACGCCCGGTAGTTGACCAACGACTGCGGTACCTCCACGATGCTGGCCAGGATGGGGCCCACGATCTTGGACGAGTCGGAGTCGACCAGCTTGGATAGTTTGAGAAAGGCGGCCTCGAATCCCTGCATCACATGTAGCGCCTGCCAGGAGCTCCTCCCAATGTCGTTGGTGGGCGTCACCGGATCCTCGATACTCAGAACCGACTGCCAGTTGTTCTCGCCAAGGGCGGACCGCAGTCGTTCCTTCTCCACGCAGCCGCCGTTTCCGAGCACCGAGATTCCGTACTTTAAGAAGTCGAACTTGCGGCCGTAGTAGTCCAGAAACTGGAGGAGCAGCAGAGCCAGTTTGTTGTTGCTGCCATAGCGCTTATTGCTGCGCTTCTGCTGCTGCAGAAAGCTTATGACCATGAGGGTGAGGGCGTAGGAGGAGACTCCGCCGGAACTGTAGACTTCGTTGAGTCCCTGAAGCTGGAGGAACTGCTTGAGAACCATCACCAGCTTGGGCAGCTCGGGGAACTGGCGGATGAACTGCTTGATCAGCTCGGCAGCCTGGACGCCGGAAGTGGCGGCCGCATTGAAGGTCACATCGAACTTGATGCGGGAGATGCGCTCCGTGAACTTGACCACCGGCACAGAGGCCTTGTCCAGGACACTCACGGTGTCCGTCTCTGGGACTTCACGGGCCACCAGTTCTCTTTTGAGTTCGTGTAGCGGGGTTCCGGGGTCCCAGTAGTTACCATGGTGCACCACCAGGTCGATGTCCGAGTCCGGAAGATTAAGGCCAGTTCGGAAGGAGCCAAAAACCTCCACGCAGGCGCTTGGCCACAGAGTGAGCACCACGTCCTCGATGCGACGCACTGCCTCCGCCCGCAAATAGAACTCCGTGGGTGTGGTACATAGCCAGCTGTAAAATTGATCGATCTCTAGGTGGAGCAGGCTCAGCGCCGGAATACCATTGCCGTACACTCCGGAAAGTTGCCAGGGCTTCGCTGTGTCAACCATTTTACTTCTCAGCTTTTTGTTTTGGGGGCGAAAGAGAAGTGCAAGAAACAAAATGTCAAAAGATAAAGGCAAACAAATGTGGAATAGCGCCGTTATTCGGCAAAGAGGTGGAGTGCTAATTGATCACGATTGGAAAACAAAAGACGTAATGGTTACGGTAAAATTTTCACAAAACAAATTTAAAAAAAAATTTGCTTATGAAATTGGAGGTGAACGTGTAATTGTAATTTGCCGCCTTCTTCATACAACTCTTTGTCAAACATTGTTAAAGGATAAAACCTGAGTCATTTTACAACACTGAGAATTTTTAACTTAAAGCACTCTTTAACACTGAGAGAAATTAGATGAGAGATATAAATTAAAAAAAAAATTCGAAAATAGCTCCGTCGGTCGGGAAAAGATGAGATGCCAACTGATTTCGATTGGAATACAAATACATGGTACTTACTGCACCACTTTCGAACACTAAGCATATTTTTTTGTTCACTTAAATCATTTAACATGTTCAGGGATTTGAAGATCTCTCTAATTTGTAATTTATATTTTTAATATTATAATTTTATGTCTCGAAAAATAAAATTAATGTTTTGAAAATTTGTTTATAATTAAAAAACATGACGCTTTTAAATATTCTTGTACCCAGGAACATATTTATACTGAAAATAAATTGAGTATGTCACAAGAATCTGTATCAAACAAATTCGGTTGGAATTTATATGTACCTACATCACATGGAAATCTTGCAATTAAATTGCAAGAAGTTGTTGTTTCCCAATTAAATATAGGAATAAAGTGAATATAATTTTATTTTTAATACCAAATGTGACAAAGGAAAACAAATTTATTGGATCCAGCAGGAATATGGTCTCCTTTTTTGACAAATCCTGACAAAACTGACAAAGTTAAAGCAAATATGTATGTGTATATAAGATAAGATAAGATTAACGATAAAACGTAAGAAAATATTACTCCTCCAAATGTCGACGGTGTTGCATCTGGAGCTCGAAACGTCGATTCAGGCGCACTCCTCTGATGAACTCTCCCTTTTTGTTTTGGGCCTTCGTTGTGTTTCTGCCCTTAAACATTTCAATGCGTCGCTGGCGTCGCTCCGCCAGCTTGTTATCATGGGATTCCGCCGGATAGTTGGTAAACGTGGCATTGAATGTCTTCAGCGTGGAGGTGGACAGATTAAAAGCTGGTTTCGGGGCTGCATTGAGGGCGTGCGCGGTAGTCTTTAAGGGTAAACGACTTGAGTTAAACTTCTCGGCGGGAACTTCCATTATTACGGCTCGATTGGCGGTCATGTCGATCTTTTTCAGCGCCTTTGGACGAGGGCGATCTTCTACAGAAGCGGGATTCTGTTGTTGTTTCTTGGCCGTCGATCCTGGTTGCTTCAGCACTGAATTGGTCAGCACCTTGGCGCGTTCCGCCTTTCGTTCGACATGTTCCAGTAGGCTCTCCATCTTGGCGAACTGCTTCTCGTGCATGGCCGCAAAATTGGGCATCTTGGTGCGTTTCTTGTTAACTTTGCTGGGTGTAATGGTTCTAGTCACCGGTATAATTCCTAATGGAAAAACAAGTTGAATTACTGTGATTCTTTCTAAATTGAATGATGTACCTCTGCTGGGCTTCGGAATTCTGCTCACTTTGCAGCGACTCTCATCCAACGACTTTGAGCGCCTACGGCGTTGATTAACATCTGAAAGTATGAGTTGAGAAAGGACTATGGATTGCTTTGATCTATGTATAACTCACTATTTTTCTGAAGTCCCTTCCAGCGCTCATCAATTTCCTCGAGATTGGCAATCTCAACGGGACTCTGAAAGGTTACAGTGCGCGACATTGTTTCATTCCAATCACTGGACGACTTGGAACGTTTGCGTTCATACTTCTGGTCTTCCTCCTTATCGAGACCTCTAAATGTTTGGTCAAATTTCTGAGAACTATCCGTAAACTTGAGCAACGGTTTTGTCTCATAGGGCGTGGGGAATCGAAAGCCATTCGATTGTTTGGGCTTCGGTGAAGCTAGATCGGCTAGATATAACAGGGTTCGGTTCTGATCATTTTCAGTGGTAAGAACTACTTTAATCGCCGGCTTCTGTTCAGGAATTTCAAGTATCGGAACGGAAACACGTGGCTGCTTATCGGGACTTTCCACAAGGATAAGACTTGCATCGATATCTACTGGCTGCATGTCGGGATTCACAACCAGGATAACACTGGCATCCAAATCATTTTTCTTATCTGCATCGAACGTGGTGTTGAGCGGTGACTTCTCTGGTTCATCAAGATCATCATTTTCAACGAGTAGTGAAGGCATTTCTTCTTCCGGAATGGTTTGCTCATCAACTATTTCAGATTCTTGGGCTGATTGAGTAATGTAATCGTTGGCACTAACTGCCATTTCTAAATTTCTATCCTGTACATCTGGTTCCTGGGAAGTTTCAGCATTTTCTGCGACTTTTTGATCATCGTTTGAGCTGTTTTCATTTTGAACTACCTTGTCTATATATTGTGAAGCTCTTATATCATCTTCTTCCTGGCTATCTGTATCTAGTGGGCACAAGCCCAGTTCATCTATATCGGCTTCAGGAATTACAGGTTTAAATTTGGATGGGTTTTTCTCCTTGGGTTGAACTTGTTTTTTAAATGCCCTAGAGGACTTTCTCTTTAATTGAGGTTTCTCCATCTCCACTTCTTCTATATCGTGTGTTTTAACATTTAGAGTTTCCACCTGATCCCGTGGAGTCTCCAGCTCTGTTTTCTGGTTATCTACTTTTTTTTCCTCTAAAACTTGGTTCTCTTTTTGCTGCTTTACGTTCATATCAACTTGTGGAAGCTCCTGATCTTCCTCTATGCTTACTTTTGGAACGTCTTGCTCTGTTTTCTGTTTCTTTGTGGTCACGCGCTTGGACTTGCGGCTGCGCTTTCGCGAATTCCTGCCCACCTCGGCAGCTGTCCACTTTTGGGTGGAGGGCATCTCGTCTTCGGCTTCGGCTAGAGGGCGTTCGGCTATTATCTTCCTGGCGGATCCCACTATAATGTCATCGTAGTCGATTGTGGGACGCACACTTTTCCGGCAGCTGCGTCGCGGGGTTTCGGGGGCTGGGCCAAGATTACCTGGAATACCTGGCGTTTTTGGAGCATCAGAATGTACAGGAGATTCATCCTCGGAGGTGGTGTTCTTCCTTCTGAGTACCGCTCGTCGTGTTTTCCTGGCCATTGGTGTGCCCGCAGTGACTGGAACTTGTGAATTCCGATTGGCGTCCTCATTTTCCAAACCATTCGGCGCCAAGACGCCAACATCGCTTGCCGGATTATCTGCTAAAATTAATGGTTAACAAGATGTATGCCAGCAAATATTTACGCTTCGCTTTGTTTTTACCAATATTCGAGTCCATTTGCAGCTGTTTACTTCGTTTTTTCTATAAAATAGACGAAAAATGCCAGTGATATTCTCCTTTGATCTGTACGTTTTTTTTGAAGCTGAGTGTGACCGCTGTTAAATCCTTAAAAAATACAATGGCGCCCAACAAATATACCAAAACTATGATTTTTTCAAAGCACTTAATAAGATATACCAAATAAATGTCAGTGCTGTAAAATTTCAGAATTGTAACGTATTTCGTTTAAAAAGGGCCGTTTATCACTTTTTCATTGTTCTTTGGGAACTCCTCTATATCAATTTGAAAAGATTTTAGATTCGTAATGCTACGAAAAATTTCTTTTTTTCTGTTGTCTCTTCATTGTTTAATTATTTTTTAGACACCAACAAATCAGTTTCTAGTAACATAAACGTTTATTTTAAGAACCAAAAATATTAAAATAAAAAAAGCCATGAAGATTTATTTATATTCTGTATAGCAACCCAGATTTGGATGAAAAAATAAAAAATATTGTTTTTACAGATTAATTATGTGAGTCTGAAACATTTGATATTTGAGATTTTTATTTACATAAATCTCTAATAATCTTCAATTCAGATTTTTATTTTTAAAATATCAAATAATCTTTATTGGCTATTTTTAGTTATAAAACTCTGTTAACCATGGACTTTTCATCTTGCATAAGCTTTGGCCAGCAAGTTGATCTAGAAGGTATACAAAAATCACTATATTCTTTAAGAAGCAATACAAATATGTAATAAATTTATTTAAGAAAAACTCAAAATACTTAACATGTGAGCTGCTTTATTTGTAGCAAAACCAGCATCGAGATGGCATCAACGACTAGCAAATGAAAAATACATTTACATGTGAAATGCAATAAAATAAATAGTAAACACTTTTGGCACTTTCATGGCTTAGCACTCCTAGTTCAGGGGCGTTCCCTGTCTGCTCAAAGCTAGTTGATAGGCAACCTCAAAGGCCTGTCCCAGTGTCAGAATGATTTCCTGGGCCAGCTCCTGTTTAAAAGGAATTAATATTCGATTGGCTTAACTAATCAATAAATTACAAACCAAGCTATCCACCATAAAGACGTGGCAATAGTGCAGATCCTGCTCTTTGGTTATGTATGCAAAGTAGCGCAAATCCTCCGAATCCTGGCAAACACAATTAATATTCTCAATATCATGGCAACAAATGGCAGTCTAAAAAACAGAAATGTTGATGAATTTTTATAAAAAGCTACCTATGTATATATCAACCTTTTTCTCGTGATCTATAAACTTAACGCCGATGCAGGAAACTGCAATGTCCACATTGAGACGCGTCTGGAGATTGGCAGCCTTCAGATACTTTGTCGACGTGGTGCAGTTCTCCAGCAAACTGAAATCACTTACACTCGCCGCCGACTTCATGTTCTCATCAATCTTTAGTTTCTGAATAGATTTCCGAGTTGACAGGGTGCCTTGCAGCTTTCGTATTACCGTCGAGCCGAGATACTGAAACAAATAAGTGGGTTATACTATAGTAATTTAATTTAAATCGATTTAAATAAATAAATAGCCCTATTTGTGGGAAGCTTCCAATATAATTTAATAAAGAACCCAAACTCCCTTGTTCTCGTCTTCATAGAAAGTTAAAGATGTGTTTTAAAACCTATTTTTAGCCATTCACTTATAGATAACCAGTTTTTGTATAAGTATTAAATGAAACAAAATTTGTGAAAGCATACTCACAAACAGGGAATATCGTATTTCTCCATGGATCAGTGTGTATGGAGAGTGGCACCAATTGGAGGCGGAGCTCTGTTTTCTGCCCAATAACAGCTCCGCCGGATCTCTAATGTGCAACGATTGCCTAGAGTCCTCCAAGGACCGGCTTGATGGGTCATCTAAACCCTCTTCGACTTCTTTCTGCCCCACTGTGGACACTTCGTTGCCGATGTTCTCAAATATCGTATCGATCTCGGCCCAAACTCGAGAGGCACTGAAGTCCTCTCCCAATGCGGAGAATCGCTGCCTGGACAGGCTGCGTCGGTGATTTTGTGCGTGTGCCGATCTCACCATGCTAGGCGATCGGAGAAACTCTCGATCCATGGGCATGGAAACCTTACCATCTACCGCATCAGCGGACAAGTTCAGAGTGGATCCCTTAAACAGTCCAGCAAAAGGGTTGTCGGCCACGTACTCCTCCACCTGGTCGGAGTTTACAGAGGTGGTGGTGGTCCGCTGGGTTTCCCCCGGTTCCAGAAAGCTGTTCTTGCGCAGCGTCACCGGCTGAATGAAGTTGAAGATCGTGTGCTCCGCCTCCGTGACCGTGGGTGGCGGATAATCCGGCGTGGGCGAATGGCGAACCGATCGCAATTTCTTGCCATTGCCGGTGGCATTACCATTGCTGTTATTGTTATTATCCACAGACACAGCTGCCACGCAGCTGCCTTCGTCTACGGGCACCAGATTCGCATAGTCGTTGTATTCGTCGTTTATTCGAGTGCGTGGTTTGGGAACCGGTGGCGATGGCAACGTCATCTCCACATACGAAGCCACCGCTTGTTGACGCACCGCAGCTGCAAATGGTAACAGAAAACAGATGTTTATTTGATTACTTTTTTTTAAAATAAGAAAAACCCTATCGCAATTCTTAATAGCTAAAATATCTCATACATTGTGAGCAGTAATTCTTAAATTGATTATTTTCAGTTAAAATATTTCATTTATCAGTCTACTGTTTTATTTAATTTTTCAAAATTAAAAATGAAACACTATGTTGGTCTTTAATAAGTCAAGCTATTCCGGGATTTTCAATAGTTTTAATGTTGTCAACTAGAACCAAAGAGTTGGTGTACTTGTAAAGGTACTTAAAAATGGTTTTACGTACAGTTGTTACTGGTGCTGGCGGAGTTCTCGTCGCTGGTGGAGCCGTTCTTCAGCAAATTAATGTACTCGTACGACCTCGAGGGAACCGATCCGTTGGAGATGTCGCTGCAAGTGCGAAAGCTGGGAAGGATGTGCTGCTTGTACACCGGCTTGTAGTTGGCCCACAGATCCGTGGCATTTAATTCGTCGCAGGACTTTTGCTGCACAATCGGCTTCATCTGCAGGTAGTTCTCTGGCGCCTTGGCGAAAACGTCCAGCGAGCTTAAAGAGTGCGAAAGTCCGTTGTTGACTTGGTGATCTTGTTGCTTTCTACTTGACGAGAAGTGAGTGGGTGGTGGTGGTGGTGGTGGTTATGAAAGAGAGACCAAACGAGACCAGACCAGTTAGTTGAAGAGACGCACAACCGAATTCGATTCCGAAGCTGATTCTGATGAGTGCTAGGGCTAGTGGGCGTGGACATGAGGGTGGGTTGTTCGAGTGCGAGTGGTTGGGATGAGTGCGCTTTCCGAATGATATGAGCTGCGGGCTAAGTTAATTAGGGTCAGCAAAGATGTGGGTGTGTTTCTCAGTGTCGCAGAGTGGCTGGGCTTACTTCCTCTGTCTTGGCGGCAGCTTCTGGCGCTGCGAGTTCTTCTCGAACAGCCGCTTCGGCAACGACTGTGTGCCGTTTTCCACAGCAACTGGCTTCTGCCGTTCCCTCGCCGCCTGGGTGAACTCTGCAAGAGATCGTGGGAGGTGGAAGTTTAAAAACACCATTAGAATTCGAGTCATTTTGGCTAAATTGGGGTAAACTTTTCAATAAGTTTGTCTTCCTCCGTAAGAACGAAGTCGATGGCCCTTTTTTTAAGAAAGAAACTGACTTATTTACTTACTTCTTTGCTTAAGGAAAAAAATTAGTATTTATAATTTCTTTTATTTAAATAAATTGTGTATGACCAAAAACGGAAAATTAATTAAAGTTGTTGCATAGTTCAATTAAATAAGCGTCTATTTCTAAATAAATATCTTTATTCAGAACAATATATAGTTACTTAAAATTTATGCTGTGCAAATTCCTACCGTGCAAGTTACTTAAAGTTTATATAGTTGTGAATAAAGATAACTAATAAAAACGCTTAAAGTATTCTAATATGAATATATTCAAAAGTTGGACTTTTGGGATTTATTATTATATTTATTCGCTTATAAATTAAAAAATGTTTAAAAAATGGAATGTGAATGTAAGTTGTTTACAATTCTTGGACTGACCAGTGTTTAACTATTGCACGAACTTAATAAACTGATAGAATGTGCTACAGATACAAAATAAATTTAAGGAATTGAATATTTTTCCCAGGAAAATCACTCATACGCACCATTGATGGCGGCCACAATGTCGTAGGTCACATGCGGCGGATAATCGGAGAGTATGTCCAGGGCGGTGCGTCCGTTGCCATCGGTAGCATGCACATAGATTCCAGCCCGGAGCAGAGTGAGCACCACGGACTTTTTGCCACAGAGGGCCGCCTCGTGGAGGGCACTTCCCGCGTGGGTGAGTATGTTAACATCGACGCCGGCGGCGAGCAGCGTTTCCACTACCTTCTTGTGGCCGTTTCGACTGGCCAGATGCAAACAGGTGTGCGTGAAGATGTGTTTAATGGGCAAGCAGCCCAGAAGCTTCTCTTCCTCGTCGTCCGACCCCAAACTTTTGTAAGGCAATATGAGGTCAGGATAAACGCGTAGCAGAGTTTGAACAACCTGCAGGCGGCCAAATTGGGCGGCCAAGTCCAAGGCCGTTTGGAAGCTATTGTTGCGTATGGCGGGATCTGCGCCGTAGGACAGCAGGATGGCTACCACGGCATTGTGTCCATGCTGGGCACCCGAATGCAACGGTGTCTCGTTTTCGATGGTCTGGGCATTGGGATTCGCGCCCGTGGGCGTGTGCATCAGCAGCATCTTCACAATGTCCTGGTGCCCCGCCCAGGCGGCCAGGAAAAGGGGCGTGGAGCCGCGAATGTCGGGGACATCCAGCAGGGCATGGTGGGCGAGAAGTAGCCGCACAATGTCCCCATGGCCATTTAGGCAAGCATGGTGCAGGGAGGTGTAGCCATTCATGTCCTGACAGTTTATGCTGGGGCTGCGCCGAAAGCTTGAAAAGATTGGGGTGTTTAAGAGGGTATTTATACAGGTGCATTTGATGACTCACCTGGACAAGGGACCATGTCGCTTGCTCGAGTGATCCAGCAGTTTGTCCACCGTCTTGATATCGCCCCCACGGGATGCCTCCAGCAAATGTTGATCCTTGCCCATTGCTCATCCGCCACCGACTCCGACTCCTCCAAGACTAGGTAACTAACGGGACGGAAAAACACATGGCAGGTTGCAGATTTTAGCTTTTGCTCCGATTTCAAGAGAATGAGATCATCGCAAGAATTTACAGACGCCCCACCTCCAGCCGCAAAAATCAGGTGGCGGAATCAGCTGTTGGCCCTAACACACACGCACTCACACCTGCTCTCACACTTTTATAGCCCTTATTTATTTACACAAATCGAAATAAACATTCCAGCGAAACGCATGAAAGTGTTTTTGTTGATTAAAGGGCGGCGGTCTGATTGCCCCGCCTCTTCCAAGGTCAATCGATGGTAGTCCGTCGCTTCTTATATTATATTTATAATATTTTCAATTTGCTTATACCTGCTATTTCCACGTCCACGTTCAGCTATATGACCTACAGCCATAAAATAAACCGTTCACTTGTTTGCCTCCGCGAAATGCTTTAAAACTTTATTTACGTGGAGCCGATCTAGCTTATGACTAGTGTTGAAAAACATTCAATTGTTCGTTACTTTTTGCCTTGGGATGGCCACGTGAATGGGTAATGCGGTCACGAACAGGCACGAGTCATTAGTGCTGTCGGCGATACGCAGGATAAACCATTTTTTATATTTTCAAAATATTTTAATTGAAAGTCGCAAGATGTATACATACATTTGTCAATATTGCAATTGGTTGTGACACACAAATCGTTTTGATTGAATGTTTGCTACATATGGTCTATATACGAATTTGCATTAAATTGTAACCAAAAAGGATTTATGTAAATATTAGTTCTATTTATGTTAGCTAGACTTAGCTTGTAAATTTTAAACTTTGCAACGACTTTATCATATTGTTCACATAGAAACAATTTATAATTTTTTTTTAAGTTCTTCGATATTTATTATTTTGGAATTACGGTTAAAATTTGATAAACATCGAACGGCTTAATCATTGAGCTCCCATGGGAAAAATCGGAGTATTAAAACAAAAATGAAAACTTCTCTAATTTTTACTTTTTTTTTAAATTTTTTGTAGGTAGTAACGGTTTAATAGTTTAGATTTATTTGAGTTATTTTTTTTATATTTATTTAAATCCCAAAAAATCATCATAAAGCTGCCTTGCGAACGACCGAATAAATAAGGTGAAAATCATCATCACTATAATGTTTTTAAACATGTTCGTAGATGTTTAAAATGTTTTAGATTTAGAGGTTTTAAAAATTATTTAATTTTTTAAAAGAAGTTTGAATGACGAAGTTTGCTTCCGTTCGTGTCTCCATTAAACCTACATAGTTTATAGAATTTAATAACTAAACATTTTTTGTTTCAAATAAATATTACGAAATTTACTAAATCGATTTTTCTTAGTTATTTAATTAATTTGAATTTATTAAGTTAAATTGATTGTTTTCGATACGGAAATTTCCGAAAATTGCTCATATAATTAGCGTGCAAAAGGGGTATCCCCTTTTAGACGATACTGCGTGAAAATAGCCAAACTGACAGCACTGGCACGACTTTAAACGATACTTTTCACTGCACATCTCTAGCTGCACAAGCCAAATTTTTTATTTTCCCTTGCAGAGATTCACGTTTTTCCCCAAAAAATTTGACCCACAGAACAATGGAAACCACGAGCTCTAGTCCGATAAAGCCCAGGCGAAAAGACAAGGACGAAGGTAAGTGGAAACAGTGAGAAATCCGCCCTAAGTCCAAACGAAAAAGCGAGATGTGCCGGCACATCGGGTATCGTGTGCCTTTTACCCTTGATAACGCGTGTGTGAGTGCTGGTGTGCGTTTGAAACAGCCAAATTAAAGTTTAAGGTATGCCCCTTCTGTTTGCCCCCGCTTAATGCCAACCCATTCACTCTATGTTGCCCTTGCAGATGGCCACGCAGTGGAGAAGGAGGAGGAGCAGGACAACAAAGACCTGGTGGGCGAACCGCACAGGAAACTCCAGCGACTGGGTGACACTCCCGAGGCGAAGGAAGTGCTCCTCAACGAGGCCTACCAGCAGCCAAAGCTCACAAAGTGGCTGCAGACCGCCTGGACGACGAGCCAGGGAAGCAAGGAGGCCCAGACCGGCGCGCAGGTCTTTGCCGATCCCTTCCAGATCTGCCTGCTGCCCGGCCTGCTGGAACAGGGCCAGAGCCAGGCGCTCGTGGCCGAGATTATCCAGAAGGTGCAGTGGTCGCGCAAGCAGATGGACCTGTACGAATTCTACCAGAGCTCCGACCTCTCCAACATGCCCACATGCCCGCTGCTCACGAACTTCCTGCAGGTGCTGCGCAAACAAGTACGTCCCTGGCTGGAGAAGGTCACAAACCTCAAGTTGGACTACGTTTCCGCCTCATGCAGCATGTATACCTGCGGCGACTATCTGCTCGTGCACGACGACCTGCTGAAGGACCGCCAGGTGGCCTTCATCTACTACCTTTCCCCCTGGGAAGGAGCGGAGGAGTGGTCGGAGTCGCAAGGCGGCTGTCTGGAGATCTTCGGCAGCGACGATCAGTGCTTCCCCCAGTTTCCGGTGCAGCGGAAGATCGCCCCCAAGGACAACCAGTTCGCCTTCTTCAAGGTGGGCTCGCGCTCCTTTCACCAGGTGGGCGAGGTGACCACATTCGACTACCCGCGTCTCACGATCAATGGCTGGTTTCACGGCGAGACGAACGAGGCCTTCGTCGCGGACTCCATGCGCGCCTTTCCCCGCCTTAACTACCTGCAACCGGATAGCCTCAATAAGCCGCTCCTGGGACTTTTCCTGAACAACGTATATCTGAAGAGCGCCACACGCCGCAGCATCCAAAAACGGATCGAAGAGAACTCGGAAATCTGTCTGTACGAATTCTTCAAGCGGGAGAAGTTCGAGTTGGCCCGGTCCCAGCTGCTGGCGGATTCGGACACACTGAAGTGGCGGAGACAGGGACCCGCCAATGCGCACAACTACGAGGTTCTGGATCTGACGACCGCCAGAGGCACCATCCTCGAACTGCTGCAGCTGTTCCGCAGCCATGCCATGTTCGCCTTGCTGCGGGATTTCACCGATTTGGATTTGGCTGGCGCCGATGCCCAGATGCCCACGTGCAGCGTGGAGCTGCAGCGCTGGTCACACGGCAACTACACAGTGCTGGGCGACGGGCTGGCCAGCGAGGAGAACACTTTGGACCTGGTCTACTACCTGAATGCGGCGGAAGGGGCGGCAGTGATCACATACCTCTCGCCCGACTCCGAATTGCCGGCGGCGAAGGCACCAGCAAATGGCAGGAGATCGGACTACGATGGCGAGGAGGAGGATGAGTCCGTGCTGCTCACCATTACGCCCGTGGACAACGCCCTTAATATAGTCTACCGGTGCGAGGGCACCACCAAGTTCACCAAATACGTGTCGCGTAACACGCCCCTGGACAAGGGACCTGTTTTTGTTATTTCCTGCAGCTACAAGGAGTAGAATGTGACTTTGGTTTACAAAATGCGCACAATTACTACTCAAGGACTATCAACATTCATACCGTTCTACTGTACAGAAACTAATTTACATAATAAAACGTATATAAAACATAAAAACAAGTGTTTGGATTAAAATTACCCTTGTAAGCTATGTATGTTTTAAGTTTTATAAAGAATCTATGTATTTTAAACACTATAGAATAGGCTAATAGTGCTAAAATGCCAAGAACTGCACCGTACCTTCAGAATTCAGAAACTAATCAGACTTTTCTGCTTGACTTTACAGATAAGTTCCGAATCGGGGCCACAGTTGCCTTTATCGTGGTCATCATTGGAATTGGCGTGCCCATGTGGTGGCGCACCACTACTGTTTACCGGTGAGTCAGCGATGTCTGGAGGCGTTTTCCAAATCATCCGTAATTGTTTTCTGCACAGAGTTAATTTGCCCTCGTCGGCCATTCTGAGCCTGAGTGAAATCCCCATCAAAACGGCTGTGCAGGTGGCCATCTACACACAGCAGCCCAGTCGTGGTCAGTTGCTCATCGCGGAACTGCAGACTGCCTTTAGCGATAGCGGTGGGTAATTGCCTCTCCAATCACTTATTTTTCTATACTAAGAGTAGTGTTAATCTTCAGAAATATGGAGTGTGGAATTCAAGCAACTGTCGCCGACGACCAAGACCCAGGAGGCTCATACTCCGGCGGCTCTGGAGAAGCTGCTGCTGGAGGAGCATGTCCAGAGTGTTGGCGACTTTATGTTTATCGAGTGGCCCAAGCTGCAAGAGGAACTGCTGCTGACCACCGAACGATCGGCCCTTATGCGAAGTGATACAAGTAAGTAAATTGGTTTATGCCCGTTTTATATTTAATATTCTATTAATTGAGCATCTAAGCATTGCTAACTAATTTATTACCAAGACTAATTTTAATCATTGCGCTTTAAAGATGTTTGTTTAAAAACTGGTTTTTGTTCTTAAATATCGATAAAGTGAGCGCATGTTTTCAAGGTCCTCGATAGTATAGTGGTTAGTATCCCCGCCTGTCACGCGGGAGACCGGGGTTCAATTCCCCGTCGGGGAGGAGATTAATAAAATTATTTTTTTTTAATTTTAATATTATTATTTATTTTTTTTTTACGATTTATAATTGTTCTATATAACAGTTACATATGTGTATATTTATATCTTACATTTCCGTTGGTATATATATTTAATGGTTTGTTTGAAACCATACTGGAATTTCAAAGCACTATATATAGCCCCATTTTCTATTTCGAAAATTTTAATTTGAAAAAATGTTTTAAAATATAAAAAAAATAATTTAGAAAAAACAGAAATACACTACTATACATTAGAGAAATATTTGTATGGGAAATACAACTTTTATATATATTATATATATATATGTATAAAGAGAAATTCTATTAAGAGAAATTCTGTTCTAGGCAGAAACCCTTTTGATGATATTCAATCTTTTTCAGCCTCCAACAAAATTGCCCAGCTACTGAATGCTAAGATCCTGCAGACGTATCGTATTAATCAAATTTTGAGTACAGACGAGAGGATGGGAGCCAAGTCGGAAGCGCCGCAACCGGTCTACGATGTTATCGTATCGGTTTTGAATCCGAAACCTCGACTTACCCATGCCAAGTGGAACATTGCTATGGCTGTGAAAAGTTAGCTTTGATTTGAATCTTAGTATGCAAGACCCTATTTATGCCCAACACCATTTTATTACAGCCTATATTGAACCCTGGTTGGCGCAGGTGTCGGGCGTGTCCAACTATACGGTGCGATCGCAGTGGAAGTACCGGGTGTCCATCGAGGCCGATCTCAAGCAGATTCGCGACCAGAGCAAATTGGGGCGTCACTACGCCCTGCAGGAGTCCGCCCTGCCCCATTTACTGACCTCTATTGCCCAGAACCTCAGCGCCAGCACCACCGACAAGCCGGCCATCAACCTGGTTGTGTATATCCCACCCTGCCACACGGCTCCGTTGCACATCTACAACAGCAAGGATCAGCGGCTGACCAGAAATGGCGTGGATGCCTTTATTTCACCGCCTTGGGGCGGCTTCATCATATCCAATCCGCCGGAACATGTCTGTTTGGCGGCCGTCAACGATCAGCAGCCAGTGCCCTATCACGTCAGCACAACGGACAACATGCAGGTGATGCTGGACCAGCTGCACAAGCTCTTGGACATCAGCAGCGAACTGCGGATGGAGGGCGTCAAGGCGGTGGACATCGAGCAACTGGAGCCACGTCGATGGGAGTATGAGGCGTACCTCAGGCGCAGCGCCATCCGACACATTGCCACCGCCAGCAGTACGCTCCAGAGTCTTATCAAGCTTCTGGGTGAGTCTTGCATCCATTAAATTAATACAATAATATCAGGAAATTATTTATTTTAAAAAGAAAAGCATTCCTTTGGGGTATGTTTTTGAGCACTTATCATTGTTCCACAACTGTTATTTTAACTGCAATTGTATATAAATTTAACCATAATTAGCATTGGTAGAAACAACATCAATCTTTGTTAGTTTTTATATTTTTTTGGCGTTTATATTTGAATTTTACCTTCGGCCGTCTCATGCCTTTAAATAAAGTGTTCCGTAAAATATCTGCTCGATAATAAAGTAACATTTAATTAAGTTTATGTTTTTCAAGATTGCAAGTTTAATAGCCATCTTAAACCGCATAATAATATTCGCTTCCGCCCCTCGTTTAGCTCATCTCTAAATTTAAAATCAAACATTTAATTAACTTAATGTTTTTTTAAGTTTGTACCGCTCGAGAAGGGTAAAAGGCGTAACCATCTGAAACCGAATTATAATATTCGCTTCCTTCTCTCGTTTAGATCAAATCAGCTACATTGTGATAGACGACGAGGTGGGTGCCGCAATAACGAATTCCTATGCGGACATTTTGGCCGCCAAGGCAGCCCTTCTGGAGCACCGACTGGCCGAGGCCTCCGAGCTGGCCAAACGGGCCTTTGTGGCCTCGGAGCGGGGCTTCTTCGACGCCAGTCTGCTGGCCCAGCTGTACTTCCCGGACGAACAGAAGTACGCCATCTACATTCCCCTCTTCCTGCCCATCATGGTGCCCGTTCTGAGTTCCTTCAACATGCTGCGCAGTGTGCTGCAGGCCAGGCGCAAGGAAAAGCAGTCTTAAACGAACCGCAACGAAGTATAGTAATATTCCTCCTCATTAAAGCCACACGTATATTCTTAATAAGCTGTTAATGCTGCTATTTAATGGTTCACTTTGGTTTAATGTAGTACATGTCATCTTCAAGGCCGCGCAGCTTATTGTTTTTACCCACTTGGTAATGTTCCAACATGTTTACGCTGTAGACTGTCACACATAGGAGATAGCTGAAAACGATCCGTCGTATCATTTTCGGAATTTGCTGGGGAAGCCTAAACCTTGGGTGGAGTCGGTTTGGAAAACAGTGAAATTTTGATCTCTCGTAGAGTCTTGAACATTTGAATACAAATCCACGTGCCACTATTCCTTCTACAAGTTTCGCCAGATGAGTGTGCTGCGAATTGGATGTCATGGCTGGCGGAGATCGTTCCCCTCGGCCACCAGCTTAGTCCACGTCCACTCGGCGTGTGAACGCGCGTATAGGTCAGGTTCAGTGCAAGATCGCTGCCGGATGAATGTCAGCCGTGACAGGAACGCAGACTCGCATTCGGTGGGTAAGTCATATCAAATTGATATTTTAAATGGGATTTTAATTTGTTTTGTTGTTCTTTTTATCCAACAATCAATTGGTTATTTATTATTTATTTTTTAGTTGACAACAAAATAATCTACTGGGACTTCGCTTTAAAAGAACTTTTGGCTTAACTGACAAACTTTCTTTGCATTTCTAGTTAAATTAATGTTATCTTGTGATAAATATATTAAAATATATATTCTCATAGCTTTTAAATTTTATTATTTTTTATTATTTAGAAATTTGTATTTTTTGTTGAATATAAATCAATAATCTTAATCGAATCAACATGTAAACCTGTTATTTGAACCATTCTCTGTTTTATTGATATTACTATTGTAAAAACAACATCTCCTCTTTAATGCATTGATTGTAAAGGAATTCTCTTTTATATCTGAAACCCATTTTATGTCAATGGTGGTAGCACATCAGAAATCGTATTAAATGACCAGGTGGCGATACAGAGCTTAAATAATGGTTTACCTTAGGCAAATAAATATCTTAAAACTGTTCGGAATTTCTTGGTCTTCAGGTATTTCAAGACACGGCATTTTCAGACACTACCAACGCAATTGCATGCCATTGCAAATGAGCAGATGAAGGCAAACAAAAAAAGGCACAGAAATACGCGGCTGTCAAAACTCGTTAAACATGGAATTCAATTGGTAATGGGCAACCGAAACGGAGGGGGGCCAGAAGGGGCGGAAGATCCAAGAAAAAAAGGGGGCGGGGTCGGCGTTAGCGTCAATCTTTGCGCATTAAAAGTAAATAGTTAATTTTTAATTGCTCACGGCTCGTTGGCTCTCGACAAAGAGCTGTGTGTTCGGAAAAGATCTCTGGCATACCCATACCCAAACCCACAGCCAACATATTCAACAAGTATTTGTCTTCGCCAAAGGTTAAATATTATTTTAATGAGCCGCTACAGAGCGACAGGGACTTCAGAAGAGACAGAAAAACCTTTTCTCCACCGCAAAAAGGTCAACAATGTGACTTTTAGCGATCGCCAAATGCCGCCAGCCCGCTAAAAGTGGCTTTGTGTCATGGTTTTTGTGCCACGGCATCTCAGCGGCATATGGTGGATCTGGTTGGGAGTTTTGGGTCTGGGTCCCGGTGACGCCTATTTGCAGCCGTAATTGCCCAGCCATCTGCATTTCCGGGATCTAAGTGCCCAAATCTCCTCTTTCCCACACGCACTCAGTCACGGCAAACCGCACGCACGTAAAAAATCAATTCGATTTTCGAATTTTGAAGTGCTGGCCAGCCGAAGGCTAACACAATAACGAAACTAATTTTGATGCGGTTGTTAAATGTTGCCAAACACCACATCGGCAGCTTAAAGTGGAAAATGGCCAGAGGAGGAGGGCCACAGCGAATTGTCCGATATGAAGATGT